CGCACGCTCTCGCACGCCTTCGTTCCCAAAAATACTTTTATTTATAACAATATATCCACTCTCTGTAACATGATCCAAAAATACAGATATACATCTTTACTTTACAGTTGTTTTTTTTTTTTAATAAAAAGATTTATATTCTCTTCCATTTACAAAGGGAACACAGATCTGATTCCTTTAAAAACCAGAACAACCGGGTTGAAGTTGTTTCACCTCCAGTTTTGGACAAGCTGCAATAAAGCTGAACCCCCGCATCCACTCTCTGTAACATGATCCAAAAATACAGATATACATCTTTACTTTACAGTTGTTTTTTTTTTTTAATAAAAAGATTTATATTCTCTTCCATTTACAAAGGGAACACAGATCTGATTCCTTTAAAAACCAGAACAACCGGGTTGAAGTTGTTTCACCTCCAGTTTTGGACAAGCTGCAATAAAGCTGAACCCCCGCAGCGTACACGGTTGTCTCTGGAACATTCCTTTACCTATCACAGTGTCCCTTCTCCAGGAAAGCATTATTTCAGACGGTACATTCAAAATCCAGGAGAAAGGTTTAAACCCTTTAATAAGCAAAAAACCGAAGGCTGCTGGTATTTGTGTCGAAAAGGAGTTTAGAAAAAAAGTCTCTAAAGCCAGGTGCGAGCGGCCAGAGGATGCTCCCGAGCCCGCCAGAGCCCCGCACTGACATGTTCGGAGCGGGATGGCTTATTGCTGGTAGCAACGTTCCAACGGAGCGGAGGCGTTGCATGGCGAAGAGGAGGAACACGCTGTACCTCACACCACTCACCGGACCTAGCCAAGCCATCTGTCCTTTGAGGCCTGATGCCAACTGCTAGAGCTTATTTTTCTTTTTGCTTTGTTGGTTAAAATGGAAAAACAACAACAACAAACAAAAGCCTGCTCCCCCGAGCCCCAGCAAGGGGCTTGCTAAGAAAATGCATTTTGCTGCCCTGCCTGAGCGGAGCGGGGATCAGCTTCGCACTCACGCCTCCGCAGCTGCGCAGTTCCGGGAGGGCTCAATTCCAGCCAGACCTCCGGAGAGGCGCAGTGGAACAGTGAGGCTGCTTAAAATCAAATGCTTAATAATCTATGGTGATACCGTTACAAATAAAGCCTTGGGGGAGGAGAAAAAAAAGAAGTAAAAAAGAAAGAATGAAAGTGTCTTATACAACACAACGGGAAAAATAAAATGTGAAACGGCATGGGGAGGCAGCAACACTCCTGCATTAATCCAGTGTAGCAGGTCAAGGAGGTACAGGTCTCACTCAGCGGCTTCCGAATTACAGGCTGGCTCATGAGGTATCACGGTTAAATGCCTCAAAAAGAGGCAGAAAGAAAGAAAAAGAGAAAAAAAATAATAAAGCGGGCTGACTGTATGCCTAGGTTCAGGTTTGTGTGACTGCACTTCTCCTCCTCCGCCCCTCCAGCAACCTGCTTTTACTTTGCCCATGTGCTTTCCGGGTGCTGTTACAATGCCAATCACGACAAACACGCATCCCCTTGTAAACATAATCATGGAATCTTCATCTACAACACACGGAGCGACGCAACGCAGCGAAGACACGCGCAACATCGCACTGTCAATGCAAGGACCCTGGAGACAGGTTTGGGTTTTCTTTTCCTCCCTCCAAAGCAGATGCAATAAATCAAAATGTTCACAGAAAAGCTGTCTCAGCATCAAGAGGTTTCTCCTGTGTCAGTCTTGATGTACCTGCAGCATCTACCAAGCCCAATGGAGCAAAGCAGGGAAGGAAAATCGGCAAGAACTGTGTTCTGCTTTCTTTCATGGCAAAACACAAGTAAGAGGGTCAGTGTAACGGGGTGGGGGGGAAAACCAACTTTTTTCTTTTGGAAACAGGTGCCAAAATCTGACTAGAAGTGGCTTTTTTTCTTCTGTACTGTTTATTCAGACTGTTTTTACAACAGAAAAAAAAAATAAGCTTATCTGGAAGTTTCTTAATGCCTTTCCAGCAGCCTGTACCAAGAGCTCCTGCACAACCATATGCAAAGTAGTGCATAGCCCTGCACAGAGCTGCCATCAACACCCCGGGGGGATCACAGCCAGCTGGGCTCCTGAAACCCAGGCCCTCGACACCCCTGGGGTATCACAGCCGGAGGGGCTCCTGAACCCCAAGCCACTGACACCACTGGGGAATCACTGCCAGCAGGGTACCCGAACTCCAGGCCATCGACGCCCCGGGGGGGATCAGAGCCGGCGGGGTTTCCGAACCCTGGTGTGCACTGCTGCAGGGGGGCTTGGTTTTCCCCCCTCCTCCAGCAGCACCACCTTTCCCCACAACATCTTTCATTGTAGGCGGGTGAGCCCCATAATACAGGCGACATCTATGAAGACAAGAGTTATCTCTGCTTTTCCCTCAATTTCTACATCCACTGTAACTCAGAGGAAGGAAAAAACAGACAGACTTTTGTTTTCCTACTCAAGGTTCCTTCCGCTTCAGCAACTGACACAGTGATGACAGCAAGGATTCACATTCATAATCTGAAAGGCAGCTTTAAAGAAGTCAAGAGCATGCAAATGTACCCCCACTAAAAAAAGACAAAAAG